TCAAGGGAGGGTTGGTTCATAAATAAAGGAGGAGAGAGGCTGTCTATCTATCCTAAAAGAAACAGCAATTAAGACCTCTCTGAAAACCACACACCAAATGGAACACTTTTATCTCTTTCCAGTAATAATCCAGATCCACCTGTAAGTGTTTCCAAAGCAGTTGGAGAGTGGTGAGATAAAGAACAGATGGAAGATCTGAATCCTGATGACTGAGATTAGAACACACCCAGCTATGAGCCAACCCAGCAGCAGAACCTGCTGACTGCCAGCGGGAAACCAAGCTGCAAGAAAATGAGGAGCAGCAGAGCTATCAGGAAAGACAAATAATTGAGCAAAATGGAGTTAAAAAAAAGAGAGAGAGAGAGAGAGACCATTCACAGCTCTAAGCACATGATAATAAGAAGTGGGGTTTCATTTTTAAATGTTTTTCCTGTACAGAACAAAGAGACAAGAATGTTAACCACATCTGCCTTTCAGTACAGCAAAGAAATTACTGAGGAGGACAACGAAGAGGTACCTGATGAGTACACGTGATGTGAACTCACAGCTACTTCACACTTTCACACTGCTTTCAGATCTCTAATATCATAGTTTCTGCAATTCTTAAATGGAATATGCTATCATGTTATTTATTCTTAGGTGGAACATAAAACTGTTCCTATACAAGCCCCTCTCTAGCCCTCTTGAAGCAATTCCTGTGGAGTAACACAAGCCACACAGGAAAGCACAATGCTAAGGCAGCTTTTAAAAGGCATTTCTGATGACCTTGCAATACTATTATCCCCAGAGCCAGATGACCCCAAAAGCCCAGCTCTGACACATGAATGACTGGGGCTTGTAGACTTTAACAGGGCCTCCCATGCAGCAGGGAAGCTGAGCAAATGAGCTGCAGGATGCACATTCTTCACAGAGTTGTTTACTCGCAGCCACAAAGCACGCAAACACCTCTGCGCTATAAATCACAGGGTTAGTGAGGCAGAGAGGATGGGAACTTGTGTCAGCCCAGCAGTGTCAGTACCCACGGGTTCAGGGCAGCTTCCACCACAGAGTCCTGGAGTCACTATGAGCCAGAAAAGTTATTACCAAGCAGCATTCAAAAAGTCAAGAGCAGCATGCTCAATATTGTACAGTAATTAAGCTAAGTGTAAATCAGGCTGAGTAGCACATGCGTTCATTAATCAGGCGTTTTTCAACAATCAAACAGGAAAAATCATGACAAAAATCAACAAAAAACAAATGACTGAAGAGCTCCAACTTTGGAGTACAAAGGAAAGCATTTCTCAGTAACTTTTTAAGTCTCTGCTTATGCAGGTAAACATTAACATACAGCATACAAAACCATCCCTATTCAGCTGTATTATTTAATCAGTAGTGTTAAGGTCTAGTACAGAGCATGCAAATTAGAGCCAACTCCTGATATTTAGCTACTAAAGAGCATTTCCTGCCAGAGTTTGATCTTCCCATTTAACATAGCAAAGAATTCTGAAATGAATTACCATTAAATACTTGCAAAGATCCAGTGACTACACTCCAGAATGACCTACAGGAACCACAAGATTAATTGAAGATCTCTCTCCCACCCATAGACAAGCAGCTGACAGATGTGCTATTCAGCCACAGATTAAATAAAATAGGTAAACTGGCTGGTCTTAAGGTCACCTCAACTGGAAAGCTGCAACACACGGCTCCTTAAGGACTAATGGGAGACATTTACATTAGCAATAAATGGGACATGATCTTTAAACTTCACTAATTATCATATATTTTTACAGCCAAGCCAGGTTCCACTATAGTTAGCAGAACATTTCAACAATCTGGCAGGCAATTAGCATGGTTCTGCCTATGTTTCTCAAAGGTAAGCCATTACTTTCCTACATGAGTTTTCTCTTGCTCTATGCCACTGACATATATCATTCTACTCATAACTCTGAGAACAACAGAATTCAAATTTAATACCAACGATGAAGTCCAGGAGAACATTACAATTGGCTAATTTTGAACCTTACCTTGTCACCAATCTCAAGAGTTCTGGCAGGACAAGGGAAAAAGAAGAATCATTTTACACCCAACTGGTTTCAGTGCAGTAACACTACAGATAGAGTACTGCCCAGTCAAGAGTTTCCAAGAACTTTAAAAATAAGCAGATGAGAAACACCTGTTTGGATGTAGGCAAATGTAATCTAATTGAGCCTGACAGCACAGACATCAATACAGTCATTTTCAAGATTTAGGAAACCTGCAACAGTTAAACAAACAAACATCTCACGCTCCAGGATGCCTCTCTTCACAAATTTTTTCCTTAAATGTGCAGGCAGATCAGGTGTACAGAATCAGCTGATGTTTCATTAAAGTCTCTGTTTAACTTAAAATGGGATTTAAATAAACCTTTAGCCCTTTCAGTGCAAAAGCATTCATACCTCATCTGCAGCCCGACAGTAAAGTATCAAAGGGTTAATTAACACATATGCAGTGTGTGGTTTAGGTAATATGAAATGGAAATGTATGAATAGACAAGTGTCAGCAAGTGCAATGGAAATAAATTGGGCATCTCCTTCCACACTTCAACTTTCTCTCTCTAGATTTGCTCAGAGCTCTCTATGCTGCTTGTTCAGTAATTTCACGCTACGCTGCTTAACAATGTAAGCATGGAGGCTCAATCTAAAACTGCACTTCCCAAATGTCACTTGTTTGCAAACACATGGCTGAACCCAAAATTGCTTTCGATATTAAGAGTGGTGCCTGCTGGCACTATTGTAGTTAAAGGTCTGTCAAATTTCCATGATAAACCCCATTTTCAGGGGTGTATAACCATGACCATTTGCTACAGACAAACCTGGGATTCAAGGCCACAGCAAAATTATATTTTTTTTTTCTTCCCAAACCAGATTTGAGGCCTCTTACAGGTCTAGTTTTTTCTTACCAACCCTGTAGCTCCATAACAAATTCAAATGTATGATTCCCTCTTCACGCTCTACATGGCCTTAGAGTCTACAGCTACTCCACATGGCCAGTCTAACACCTTGATGGAAAGATTACAAACACCAACTACGGATTCAAATACCTGAACACATATAAGGGACAGAGAAGATAAATGCATGACTTTTCAGAATGAGGATTTTTCTGTTATGAGAATCGTTTTGGCTGCCATTGCTAGCAATTCAGAGGTTTTACCTGCCTGGCACAGTGATTATGCGTGTTTTATACTTCACAGCACAAACAGTAGCATGCATAACAGAAAATGCTTTTAAACTACCGTAGTTTCAGAAATGAAATAAAATCTACGTGTTTATTTTAGAAAAGGAGGGAGTTCAGATGCCGCATTTCTTTGTTAACAGTGGACTCCATGAAACTATGGGCTGAATATTACTAAAAAGAACAAAGACAGACACTTCACCTTTCAGTCACCAAAAGGGCTGAAGTTGCTTTCTGTATGATGAGCCTCTCAGACACTAAGTGCTGTGACATTTTATAGTCAAGGACTGCCTGTCGGCAGTTGCTGAGGCAGGACATAAATACAAAAAGGGGAAAGCTTCAAAAAAAGGCTCCTATGGGCGTAACAACCATCTTCCTTTCCTAGCTGGGTTAATTATGCTTACTTGCAAAAAAGGAAAACTAGGGAAACAGCACTGTTTTTTTTCCTCCCACGATTCTAGCAGATTCCTTACTGTCTGCAGTGCCAGAAACAGCACTAGCGTCTCTAGAAGCAGAAAGCAGTGCATGGCATTAGTCACAAAGCAACCACTCACAGTGATTAACACGCAGCATTCTAAATATAATTCTGCACAGATAGCTTCAGCTTAGGCCAATCGTGGCTGAAGACATTACAGCAAGAAGATGGAGGTATCAAGAAAGCACAGTCAACAACCGTAGGATCCCAAAGCAAAGACTACATTCAGCAATCATCTACTGTTTCTAGAATATAAACCCTAGTAAAGGAAAACAGGGCAGCATTACATTGTTTTACAGGATGAGGCACCGAGGTACTTGCAGTGCATCTTCAGCAAAGTTGTATTTGCCCAGAACAAAAGATGTATTATAAAAGTTGTGGAGTCAAGCTGAGTTGATGGAAGAAAAATAAGTGCAGAAGATGATATAAACGTTATTGTAGAACGAAAACTAAGACTGCCTTACTGGAAAGGAGTGTCTGTGGTGATTTTAAGTTCCTACCCAAGGTTATAATTTCCCAAAGATTCTCAAAACTGATCCCCAATTTAAAAACTCATGAAGCGGTCATACCTCACTGCACCACATCTAATGTACCAAAAACATCAATACATCAAAACAAACCCATTTAAAGCAGACTTAAAAATAAATAAATGAATAAAAATGAAAAGCCAACCACACTAATCTGTTTGAAATATAGGCCCATCGCTACTAGTAAAAAAAACTAGAGAACATAGTAGGCATGCTGTCATGGAAAACTGTCACTGCCTTCAGAACTGTCAAAAGTAATTCAAACAAGAAATTTGCCCTGATGAAATAGCTACATGGAGTCATTCCACCATGATTCTCCTCTTCAGACATCGAGACCTTTTGTACTGTGCATTTTTTAGGGAAATTTAAAAATGTTAAATGGTCTTTAAATAACCATTTAAAAATGGTTATTAGTATACTCCTATGAAAGTTTAAGATGCCTCTAATTTATCCTTTCTCCTGCAAGATGTATACCCTAGGAACTGTATTCAGTTACATCAGTTACCTTATCCACCCTGAAATGCAGTTTTAATGCTTCAGAAAACCAATCCAAACCTTCTAACTTCAAAACCACCTCTACACAAGGCTTATGTACATTCAGCATTCAAGAAAGGCATTCAAGAAAGACATGCTTGCCCGCAAAATGACATGAATTATCAACAGGAATAAAACAATAACATGGATCAATGAAAGTACGTTTTCAAAACAAGGACATTTTCAGTTTGTTCAAAGGGAGAAGTTCCCCACCAACTACTAGTTTATGAGCTCGTGGTTTTAAGTAACCCCCCAACCAAACAGATACCTACTTGGGTTGCCATTTTTCCATAGTCAATCCAACGCAATGTGGCAAAGTTGGTTGACTCAGCACAGTTGAAGCCATGATTGAAGCCAGCATGGTAACCATAAGGAAATGTAATCATAAACTCTCCAGCTTCCTGGGTGATCTGAAAAACAGAAATAAAAGGACAACCTACATCAGATGAGCAGAAAAAGCACTTTGAAGACAGTTATATCCTCCTTGTTAAATCTCTCTCAGCAAGAAGGCAGAACAGTCACTGCCAGTTCTCGGCTATACCTATAGCGATTTCTTCTTAACTGTAGAAATACTGAAGTAGTTCTACTAGTGAAAACAGACAAAGGACAAAAGAAAACAGTACAAAGGACAGAAGCTGCTATAAGATCTTAACTCTTGAGATAAAGGCCCCAGTTATAAAAAGGGTCCCAAGCTGCAGCATTCCAAAAGATGCACAAATCTTTTGCTTGCTGTCACTTCATCCCTTGTTAAGTTCATACCAACTCTCCCACACCATGCTAGTGGGGCCAAACAGACTGCATTTCCCACCTACACATGTGCTCTGTGCTGCAGTGTCCTACTGAAATACATGATAACTTTTCCTGTATTTATTTCCTCACTTATATGGTTATCATTCTCATTTGTTCACTTGTAAGTCAAACAACCTAAAAAATCTTAGCCTGCTATTTGTCCTTTAAGATGAAAGTAAGTAAAAAGGATTGAAAACTGCAGATTACAGCTGTAATCAGAGGCTGAACGATTCCCAGTACTTCTAGAAAATCACCTTTTAAAAACCTACAAAGAGAAAACGTTGTGAAAAGAATGTCCCTGTTAAGCAACACAAAAACAACTGGTAGCAGCGTAACCAGCTCATCCTGCTAGCTTCCCAAAGCATAGGGTACCATCTCCTCCCTTTAACAGATCAGAAATACGGCAAAATTTGACCTTTGCCTGTCTTTCTAAACTGGAAGTGCTGACAAAGCTTTTGTAACACATCTGGGTTATTTCCCACTGACACTAACCACAACTCAGCAGTCTGGAGCCTACTGAGCCTTCAAAGAACTTTCACATATAAACACAGGAATAGAACCAAGCAGAAAATGTTATCAGGAATTAAACCACTGGCCCACTAGACTGAGCCCAACCTTGTTCATACTATGAACATCAGCAGAGAACAAAACGAGAAAATAAATGCAAGATTTGATAGCACAAAAGCTTCCAGATGAGGGGTGCTGAAGCACGGCCTGCAGCCGCGCAGCGCATCCCCTCCCATCCCTCCATACATCACTGCACAGCAGTAGATTGCTAACTTCAGAAAATGGAAAGATTATGTTTCTGTCACAACATCTACATCCTGGTGTCTTCATTTCAAGCCCACAGCATATGTCCTCCATGTCACTGCTGTCAACATTATCCCTACAATAAATTAGAAAGCACTCGAGATGATGGATAGGCCACGCAGAAAAGTAATAACTATTGAAGAAAAGCCAGCACAAACTGCCACTCACGGAGAAAGGCCTAAATTTACTGACTTATGCAAGCTCTTGCAGAATAAGTGAAGAAATCAATAGGAGATTATAGAAATACACATTTTTAATTATTAAAAAGCCTCAGTATTGATCTGCTTTTTTATTTTGAGAAGTAAATACCATTATAGAGATTTATAAATGCGCACTTATTCACTTCATTGAAACCTGCCAGAAATGTAGATGAAGGGATCCTATCTCTATTTCTACAGAAAAGTGGCACACATTCCCTGTTCCTGAACAATAGCAATCCTCCTTCAAAACCTACTTTTCAGGATAGGAGTTATTCAGACATGGACTGCTCTGACTAAAGAGATCTCCTCCTCCTCCTCCTCTTCACATTTAAAAACGTCCTTCCAGTGAGTGCCATAGAAAATAGAGAATATGTAAACACATACACAAAAAAAACCACATTTGTGCCCCACATTCTGTAAAACAGGATTAGGAATTATATTTCTTTACGTGAGATGTTAACAATACCCCTTGTTTAAAAAAGTTTGGTTTTGACAGCAATATTGTTTTTCTTCGCATGCACTGGCCTCCATTTTTTGGGTGAAAAAAAAAATCCCAACAAAAAACACAGAAGCCAAACACATACAAAGGAAACAAACAAAAAATCTATACACAAAATAAGTTTCTTATCATTAAGGTAGCACACATTTTAATACTCAGTATGAAGGAGGCACCAGAGATGAACCTACACACCTTCCCTCCCCAAATCACAAGATTCACAGTGGGAAGCCTACCTAACTGGGAAAAGACTTTTTACCAGGCAACAAATTAGAAAGTCCTTCCATATCAAAGTACTTCATATCCCATGCCCATCACCAAACAGCTCAGTAAAGCTGACTTGGGATAAGCTCGATAGAAAAGCTTTCCTCTATTACAAACTCTTTCGCTCCTCTTGCTTGGTTTTGATCAGAAATTACTCAGTATATGTAATTACTAATCAGTGCCACTTTCCAGGTACATGGAAAAGCAAACATAAATCGTCTCATCAGAGAAAAATATGCCCACCTACAGCATTCAAACACTCACAAGAATTTCCTTCACATTCTGACTTCCCACAACCATTCAAGCAGCATGTTTGGGCACTGAAGAGGCAGAAATTAATTTCCATTTCCTATACTTTTCCATTTCATAGAAGGATGGGATACCAACAAGGGGCTGCACAACAAACTTCACTTACAATATCTAGTGAGCTAGATTGGGATTTTTTATTATTATTTTCAGCATCTTTAGATAAGCAGTGATCTATATGTAAGCAAGCAGCGATCCCTTTGTAGGTTATGCCCAGCCTCCTCTATCAAGTCCTTTCCACAGGAGCACCCATGTATGCTACCCATATTCCAATCTACTCATCTACTTTCCTCAAATTTGTAAAGTTAAAATTCCTACCAAAAAAAAAAAAAAAAAAAAAAATCAGATCCCAAAGTCAGATTATTTTCAACCGCGTGTAGCAGATAACCATGTTTTCACATTTGGACTTCAGGTTTAACAGATAGAATTACAAGAAAAAATGGTTTGTTGATCCCTAAGAACAAGTTGATATCAACTATCATGTGCAAACCAGTGGCAAAATGCAGCCACTAAGCACCACACATGGCTTTCTGCAAGTCTCTGCTGCACAGTGAGCTCATCCAACAAACCAGACAGTCACACTTAAAATTTCATTCATCACAGCCTTCCACTAGGAAAAATGAAACAGTCTCTGGAGCAGTAAATAGAATGAAATCATAGTTTTTATGCTATAAAAGAGTGCAGAACTTGTACTTCTCAAAGAATCACTAGGACCATCAAATAGGTGGTATACTTTGTCACCGGTGGACTAACTCTAGCAAAACCTTGCTTAAGAGTTCTTACTTAGGGAAAAAAAAAAAAAAAAAAAAAAAAAAAAAAGCCACAATGTCTTGAGCTGATGATGCCAGAGAAATGAGGAAGGATGAAATCAGTTTAAATCAAGTGCTCTTTGACACTTCCACTGGAGTTAGAGCTGCAGTGCCTCCAACTCAATTCCTTTTTCTGCACCCTGACAGTATCATGCCCACAAACAGTGTCCTTAACCATTCTGGCAGGACAATGAGCTTTGTATGCTGGCAACATACAGAAGCAGTAACCGCTTGATTGAATCTGCATAAAATCCATGCTTGACTGAGGAGATTTACTTCTTGCCCAAAGCCTTTGAGGATAAGCACATTAAAATGATCATACCAAATAAACATGGCCCCTCATTTCAAATAAGAGGACTTAAGAAACAGACAGATCCTTACTGGCTCTGTGTAGATAGAATGCTTTCACAACGGAGAACCTGCATGTGTAACTCCAGTTTTTGGTTCACAAGAGATCCAGAAAAAAAAAAAAACTTAAGACTGTGTTGAACAGCTACCTGAGAGTTATGCTGCCTATTGACAAGCCATAGGACATGCATCAAACCGCTCCTGACCAGCTGCAGAGAACTGCTGCCTTAGAAGAGGGGTGTCATAGTTCGTGCATCACAGCAATTTGCCAGCTTTACTTTACAACTTTACTTTCCTCAAAGCCTCTTTTGTACATACCCGGTCAAAAGGAATGCCGTACTTCTTCAAGATTGAGGGTGAAATGAGGGTCATCTTGTGACGGAGGAAAGCATCACATCCCTGAGAGCTTCCAGGAAAAAATCCTGTAGAGACATTACAAAGAGGACTATCACTTCAGGAATATTGTATCAAGTCATTATTTAATCAGTGACAAGGTGACAAAACGAAAACCTGCCTAAATATTTTACGTAGATCAAAGCAACAGGCATACTGCTAAAGATGTCAGTAATTAGCACATGCCTCATTGTTTCAAATGCCACATAAATTTTGTGAAAAAGACTTGAATGTTGAGGCACATAAGTGTTAATTCCGTTCACAATGAGAGTCAGCATCTAATCTATCGTATCTGAGAATACGCAACTTGGCCAAAATCTCAGTAAATCCCTAGCAAATTAAGAAACTGAACCTAGCTGTCTCCAGTTTTGGCTTGAGTCTGAACAAACCTTTTTCTTAATATAGACAAGGAAAAATTGACAAGCATGCACCATCTACTCCATAGTCCTTTTTATACCTTCTCTGAAGGGCAGCTATATTATTCCTGGGAAAGTAACACAACTGTTATCATACGATTCCAGAACGATCTGCCCTACATACCAGCCTAAAGAAAAGAAAGAAATAAGCATGCAGATGTTAATATTGAGTCAAAAAGAAAGAAACAAAACAAAACATAACCACTACAGTGAAGTAGAAGGGATGCTCATTCATTGGCCACAGAGGTCAGATATAGAGACACTGTGATTTAATTCAGCATCTCAGCAGTACTAAGTGCAAGTTTGACTATAGCTACAAGATTCGCACCGAGTCAAAACAAACCACAAATAATTAAAAACATTAACATTGGGGTAAAAACCAAACCTCTTGATGTCAACACTTCCTTCCCAAAAGCATCAGCTAGACTGTAAGAACACAGTGTTCGCAACCATGTGTTACACTCCAAGCAGGTGATTCAATTAACAAATGATGTTTATGGGATTAAGAACCAATGTCATTTTGAGAAAGAATTTAAAAAGCAAGCAAGCTCAGGATACAAAACTAATCGATGGGACATAATGGAAGGGGTTTCAGAAAGTGAAAAGAATTGCCAGATTCCAGGTTTTCCTATATTTTTGCACTAAAAGCATTTACATTAAAGTGATGACTGTCTGCTGCCTGGTTTGTTGTCCTTCTCTGCAGTTCCTTTTTTTAATGCACAGTTTATGTGGCTCTCATTAAAGCTACTAATAAATAAGCACATTTTAAGTGATTAGCACCAATAATATGGCAACACATTAACATTCTCTCCATGGACTCCACAACTCTCTCAGCAAGCCCATTTACAGCTCAGCTATTCATTTTCTATATTAATTGCATGCTCATCTTTCCAGAGAGAACATCTTCATAGTACAGTCCGCTGATGCATAGGACGGGGAGGATGCCCAAGCAGTAACGCTGCTTCATCATAGTTTTTAGACATTATTCATCCCAACTTCCAAAAGGCACTAAGCAAAATAAAACAAGCAGCTCAAAATAAAGATGAGATCACGGATAACGTGTCTGGTTTACACACTGTCAACCACTGCTGTGCTTCAAAATTTTATTCTTTTTTCCACAAGTATAAAACAATCACCAGAACGTCAGACTGTTAGCAAGAAATGCCAACACTAAGAAAACCTACTTTTTTATTATTACTCCTTTGCATCAGAATACAGCCTTCCAGATCTCCCTGCCTCTCATACCACAGCACTGCTTTTGTCGCATTAACTTCAACAACAGATTTAAATCATTCAGAGTACACCTCACTGAGGATGGAATATGTAGATTTTGACTTAATTATCCCAAAACACTGACTTTTTTTTGTTTGGCTGGGCAGCGCTTAGAACATTTGCAAATATACAAAAACAACAACAAAGCACAAATAAAACATCAACAAATAAATACATATATATTTCTACAGTCAGTCATCTTTCCTGAAGTTGCCACCATGCCACCATTACCAATTGGAAACCAGAAGCGACAAAGACAGAATGCTGATGTCCATGCTTGCTGCTTGCAGAATGACCTTGGCAGGTACTTAGGCAAGAAGTGCACATATGGCTTTGGGCAGCTGAGGCTGGCACTTGCAAGGTCAAAAATTACAACAGCCCAAGCTAGCCCTGCTCTTTGAGTTGGACTTTATTGTGTTGAAATGATGATGGAGGATGGCACTGGAAAGGAATGCCACCAACAACACTTTATGTCGTCATAGAGGGAGGCAAGAACTCCACTAGCTGTTCTCCATTAGTGCTGTTGTTGAATTTCCTTGAATAAGATTTGAAGTAATCTACCAGTACTATATAAATAACATTTATAACACAGGAAGACATAATGGTTTTTAGCACACCTTTTCCCAGCAGTGGGGGTATGGGATGGAATCATCACCAATACTTCACAGACTGCACACCACAAAACTGGAGCAACGGAGTTCTCACCACACTGCCACAAACCTCCTACAGAGATGCATGATGAACTATTTCCCATGCATGGTCTCAATGCTTTGAAAAAAAAATCAAGCTTTTGCCACCAGTTTTGGTTAGGGCCATGGTGTGTCAGAAGACAGATTTTGAGAAAACAGTTGCACTATGAAGAATTGTGCACAGCACTTCTGACATGACAAGGTTTCTGACTCAAGAGTTTATTATACCAATGTAGGTTCATCAAGCAGCTCTTTCAAGAGTAAGTTACAGCAGTCAGTTCAAAATAAATTCTTTATAAATCTTAAAATTCTTTACAAATCCATTATAAAATTAAGAGTTGGACTCACTTCTGGAATGCTTTGGTTTTCACTAAGCACATACCTATGTATTTATCCAAACAGCATTAACACAGGAAGAAGCCAAGCTTACCTTTCGCCAAGCGTTCCAATCTCTTGCCATGTTCTGGAGGTATGGCATACCTAGGACAAAGTTAACAGAGAAGAAAAAAAAATAATCACACCACAATGTAAAAGCAGTGAAAAAAACTAAAAACAAAGATAGTAATAACTTTTAGCACAACACTCTTACAATAATGTCTCCAAACGTAAGCAAAAATTTAGAAGTCTGGAAGGCATCGGTAACACGTCAGTACAAAAGGAGGATGAAAGTCAGTATCTCAGAAAAGCCCTTAAATGTGTTACACAATGCGTGAGGCTTTCCTGCTACTTTTTAAAAAGCACCATCTCAAGCTTCATAAGGTGTAAGCAGAGCAGAGGTGACAAACTGACAGCGCAACAGGAATCAGTCAGCATAGGGAACAGCAGTCTTGTTTTCTGCAGGAAGGATGCGTGCAAAAGAAATTCACAAGGCTGTGCTAAAGACAAAGACAAGAAATTTCAGATGGGCTGAAAAAGCGTGAGGGAGGATCTGTGTGCACTGACATCTACAGGGAGTGAGGATAAATATTTTTTTCAAAGACAAGTGTGCAAATCTTTTCTGGCTTTCTTCAAAAAGTAAATACTTTTCATAACAGTCAAAGCAGCTGATCTTTGCATTGGCAGGATTGTGTTGACTGATTTGAAACAAACAGAATTAAACTGTTAGGTAATTTTCTAGAAGAGGTGAATGGAAGAAGTGGGGTCTTCAATGGAACAATACATGAAAGAATGCAGGGAACCGTTTCTACATTTTTAAAAGACAGTTTTCTGTGATCAGGAGTAAAAAGTGCACAAAAGAATGTCACTGAGACGAGGTTCCTCTGTTTGTTTTGTGCTGGTGCAAAGTACTGAATATAATTCAGGAAAAACAATCAACTGCCTGAAGTCACACATTACTAATTGAGATATTCTCCTGAGATCTCCCCCCAGAAGATCTTAGTTACTTTACTCTTTGAAGTTACATTGCCTAGGTATTCACAGAAGGAAAAATCAACTGCTTAAGATTTTACACTTCACTCAGGTCATGATGTGACTGAGCACTATATACACCCAAACATCTTTAAACAGACTGCACAAATAATAATGCCAATAGAATTTTTAAAATTGTTGTTTACATACATACATTACACATAATTAAATGTGGCTGTCATACCTTTTTTCATAACAAGAGTTTTGAAAAAGATGTATTTATTACCAGCTATAACTTTTGTACAATGTGAATAATAAAAAAATGAATTATTTTTGTTATCTTCAATAAAATTGTCAAAATTGTCACAAAATGGGCCAGCGTAAGCAGGTAACTGCCTGATCTCAACAACACATTAAGAGTATTGTTGTTCTTCCAATAGGATCTCTGAAAAAACAATGGGTTTAGAGGACTTGCTGCCAGTCTTCTCATTCAGCTTCTCAATTTTTTAGTCAAAAGTTTATCTACAATGTAAGGAAAAACAGATAGAAGTCATATCCCAAATTGCTTTTTCACATTAACAAAATTTACCTTATCTGATCCTTGCAGGTTAGAAAGGATAACAATGGAAAGAAACCCTACATAGGATGCCCTAAGATTTAGACATTAAGCCGATTTAAACTGATGGCTTAAAAAAAATCTAAGGGAAAATACTATGTAGTACCTAATCTTATAAAATAATAAATACAACAACAGGCTCCCAGCATACTCTGACCAAAGTCTGACAGTGCCTTAAATTGTATAATAATCAAACAATTCAATTTCATTTGTCTGGGACAAAGCTAGGAGCTTTCATTTTACAAAGACAATTTATCACTTACATAAACGTGATAAAACTAATCCTGATCCAAAGCTCCTTTGTGGGATTAATGTCCCTTAAAACAGGGAAATGAGACATTCCAGTCCTTGTGGGAAAAACGCTGAAGGATTGGGAAAGAACTAATTTATGGCTACAAGGCTGCTGCTGATTAATGTAATATCCCCCGTCTACAATGCAACCTTCACTTAATTAGTGTCTGTAATTGGGAGTTGTAAAGATAAGATTAATTGAATCTTGAGGATGTTAAAAGTCTAACGTATTGGAACATGGTTACTGTGTTATCTGCAACTGCAGACTGCAAAAAGCCAAGCTGAGCTTTGGAGAATAGTCCATGGAGAGTCAGAGAAAAAGGACTTGCTTAGATAGGAACCAGTGAGAGAGGAGGAATTTCCAGCTTTTAAAAATGGAGTATATGTAATAATATGCAGATCAGAACACCCTACCACAGAACAGCCTCTTGGGAATAGCTGACTCCACATTTATAAATTAACTTTTTTTTGTTTGGACCAAGTCTTTTAGGAAGCAGGGTCTACACCTTCTTGTAAATTTATTCTTAGGAATTCACAAAGTTAACTGCAGAAGTGAATTAATTATGAGTAAGTAAAATTCTATTTTAAGTTACACTCACAGAACCGACTGATTTATATAAAGATAAGCAATAGAGAGAGAATTCGGACTGCTACTTAAAACCAGGAATAGAAACAGAAGCCTTCTGCAAGCTCTGCACAGGTCGAGCAAGCGAGCTTTATGCGATCAAGACATAAAGTGACTGATTACAAGGAGGAATAACAATGGAGGTGACATGGAAAGATCATAAACTGCTGCAATCAAAGGAGCACTGTAATTGAGCATGCAAGCACACATGAACGGGTGGCTCTTGTGTCTCATGGCAGCATCTTGTGTTCTTACTACAAAATGTGGCCAGACACTTATTAGGGACAAAGTACTCCACAGAAGGAACTGATGAAGCAATGACATTCAATACCTTTTGTTACTGACCCTCCTGCACCCACAGGCTGGGGCTTAGATCAATAAAGGATTTTAATTCCAGAGAGAGCTGGGAGGACTATGCTTCACTATATCCAATGACTTCGTTTTCTACAGGCATCATTCAGGAAACTTCAAGATTTTTTCAGCAGGTAGGAGTGTTCTTTTTCCTTCAGTACCCCAGACCCATACTAAGAGAAGTTACCTCTGGATAAACACCAAAACCAAAAGCTACCCCATCAAAAACTTGAAGGAAAAAGAAAAATCACATGTAAAACTGCTTCCCTTCTCTGTCCCATTAAGGCTGTAGTATAAAGGCACTCCACAAAGTCATGGAAAGAGTAGGAAAAGTACATAAATACAAGAAAAATGCCACTTTGAGTTCTGCATCAGTTGGCCAAAAATAGACTGTAATATCCTGTAAAAATCCTGATAAAAATCTCAACTTGACAATATCAGACTGACAACTACCCAATGCTTCATCACAGTTGACAGAAGCAGTTTTCTGACATCCATCTGCCCAGGTGGAACTGAATGAAGAACGCTGCAGACCTAACTTTTCTTCAGCCTACAGTAGACACATCTTTATAACCACAGCAAAGATGAAGCAAGAATTTTCTGTCATCCCAAACAGTCATAAAATTAAAGAGAATTGATAGTGGCAGCATAAATATTTAAACAGCTTTTATTAATAACTCTCTTTTTATAGACTACTTCTGCTTCAGAGAAAACATCTACAATCGTCAACAAAATATACAACTGTGCCTAAAATGCTGACCTTCAGCCAATGCTTCAAACGTAGCGTCTGTCCCTTCTGGTTCAGCAAGGTCCCCCAGTAAAGCTATGTCTATGTAAGCAGTGCTAAAGCAGCCACTGTCTTAATGCATATCAAACTTGCAAGAAACTGAGCTTGCAAACTGTATAATCAATGGATATCAAGATGTTACAATCACAAAACAAACAAGAGAGTTAGGCGAAGTAGACTATGATAACGAGAGAGAATAAATGGCAGGCTTACCCTTATGTTGGGCTCACCACAGAACACCAGAAGGAGGGATCTCCAGACGAGATCCTTCCTTACTGGTAGCCAGCTCTTCAATAGGTCTAGGAGAGGTGCAGCCTGGCTCCACCCCTTCCGGCAGCACAGGTGAATTGAATTGCCTTCACCTGTGCTCCTCTGGCTGACTCACGGCTCGCCTCAAGTGATCAATCAGAGGTTCAGGCTGTGACTCAGCAGTTCCCATACACAAACAAACCAAGAAAGGGCCAAACTACCTGAAAACTGCCATGCTGTAGTCTGTGGGATTACAACATGAATAACGTCTTGCTACTTTGCCAGGGAACACAAGATTTACAGAACAGAAAAAAGTCTCAAGATAAAAAATTGTTATAGCTGTGTGACTCAAATATCATCTTCCCTGAAGTCAACAATCTGAAAGTAATATAGTGATTCTTCTAAATTACCTTTTCCTACACTTTCTGCTAAAACAAGAGCAGGCCCCTGAAATAGATTAAATATCACTTCTTCAAAAATGGAACTTTGCTGCTCTACGTGAAAAATTCTCAACTTCCAAACTTGTTTCACAAAACTTAAATTCTAGCAAAACTGACCTCTACTTCCACATAATATTCTGAGTTCTTGAGGATCCCTCAAACCTCATTCTGCTTGTAGTTACCACACATTGAGATCACAGGTCTAGAAGGTGCATGCCCCAAAGTACAAATGTGTAAGATAATCATAGATGATCTTAAAGGTTCCTTCCAAACTAAACCATTCTGTGTTTCTATGATTTACAAACAGCAGTAATTTGCTTTTGTTAACAAGTAGCAAGTCTAACTGGGCAGTCCCCTTTTCACCCTTAATGCAAAGGATCTCTTCCATTTGCCATAAAGGATGTCATTAATAGTGTAATTTTCTTGGTGTTTTGTTTATTCCCCTGGAATGGTTTGATGGATGTTGATAATTATCAGACTATAAAAGCCAGCAAATGTGCTATTTTCTATCGCTGTACATCATCAAACAAATAAAGCATTTCTGAATACAATTTTCCCCTCTAATGGCTTAGAATTATTATCAGGAACAGTGAAAATAAATAAGCAAATGTCTTGCGAGTTAAGAATTACATGAATGTGTCAGTAAATAAAGAGAGTACACTGACCATCCCAGGACGCAAGGATGCAAGTTTAGAAGCCATTAAAGGATGACACAGTGAGGAATTCACTACTGCAATGACACCATTTACAGCATCAGATCTTCTTCAGGGACCT